GGTATTATTTGACAGGGATGATGGCCCTGGCAGGTGCGCCACCGTTGTTGCAGAAGTTCGAAAAAGTTGCTCGCAGAAGCCCGTTTGACAGAAATGTTTAAAAAGTGTTGGGTTTCCTACGAATCCGCAAGAGCGCGCGGGATGAGATTTTGACATTTGTTTGTTGAAAAACCATTGTTTTTTATGTTTTTATGTTAAAATCGTTCCGAACACGAAGCTTTTGGAAGGATTTCGTCTTGCGCGCGCGAATGTCCACTTTACCTTATTTTTTGCAAGGGATTCTTGAAATTTGATTCTATTAGAACAAGAAATGTCATTTTATAGTGTTTTTTGCAAGGGAAAACGGATTACAACAAAACAACCGGATCTGGACCCCATCCACTTTTCTGAAGCTTTCGCGAAAAAATGATGAAAATGTAGCTGCGGCCTAGGCGCGGCGGGGGGGCCGTGCACCAGGTGTCCCAACAATAATTATTCTTTAGAATTAATAATGTTCAACAACAACAACAACAACAACAACAACAACAACAACAACAACAACAACAACAACAACAACAACAACAACAGCAGCAACAACAGCAACAACAACAACGAGAATCCGCCTCGCGGAATTCCACTTCAGCCACGCACCCTGGGACAGTGAATGACCGTTCGGTTCAGCCCCCTCACTCTGATGTCTGTCGCTTGGCAAGCTGGATATACGGCTTCGTGTGTATAGCGCTGGCACGGAAGCGTGTGGTTGCAGGACCTCTTCATACCCGTTGGGTATTCATCATAGCTGCACGCTCAATATGCTTAGCAATGTGCACCCCTGTTCGGCATGGCGTTCCAGGCAGAGAAAACGACCATGGCTTTCCTTGGAGGTACTCTGGTCGGTATCCGCGTGTTCCGACCAGCTCTTTTATGTTCGTCGTGCCGGCCCTCATCTCGCAGCGCATGGAGGTCAGGTGAGGCGCGGATTGGTTTCTATCACTACGTGAATCCCTAGCAGCCTCCCTCCTTCCCCCCCCCTCCTCCCTCCTCCTCCCTCCTCCTCCCTCCGCCTCCCTCCTCGTCCTCCTGCAACTCCTCCTCCTCCTCCTCCTCCTTCATCCTCCTCCTCCCTCCTCTCCTCCTCCTCCTCATCTCCTTCATCCTCCTCCTTGACCTCCTTCCCCTCTCCTTCCTCCTCCTCCTCCTCCTCATCCTCCTCCCTCCCTCCTCCTTCCTCCTCCTCCTCCTCCCTACCTCTTCCTCGCCCCGCCTCCGCCTCCGCCTCCGCCGCCGCCTTTCCTCCTCCTCTCCTCCGCCCACCTCCTCTGATCCTCCTCCTCCCTCTCCTCCTCCTCTGTCCTCCTCCTCCTCCTGCTCCTTCCTCCTCCTCCTCCTCCTCCTCTTCCTCCGTGCTCCCGCCTCCGATCCGCCTACTCCCACCCCTCCTTCACCCCTCCGCCTCCTCGTCCCGTCCTCCCCTCCTACCTCCATCCCTCCCCTCCCTCCTCCCCTCCTCCCTCCCTCCCTCCCCCTGGGGGAGCGAGGCGGAAGGCGCACTGAAGCGCAGCTCCGGCCCTCGACGTCGGCACCGCGAGGCCCCGAGGGGCGCGCCTCCCGGTGCGCGCCCAGGCAGCCGTTGCCCCGCACACGCGGGTCGGCGGGCGGGGCGCCCAGGGCGGAGCGCAGGAGGAGGAGGAGGAGAAGGGAGGAGGAGGAGGAGGGGAGGAGGAGGAGGGAGGAGAGGAGGAGGAGGAGGAGGAGGAAGGAGGAGGAGGAGGAGGAGGAGGAGGAGGAGGAGAGGAGGAGGAGGAGGAAAGGGAGGAGAGGAGGAGAGGAGGAGGAGAGGAGGAGGAGGAGGAGGAGGGAGGAGGAGGAGGAGGAGGAGGGAGGGAGGAGGAAGGCGGAGGAGGAGGAGGAGCGGGGCGACGGACGGAGGAGGGCA